ATGATGAATGGATGGAAGGAAGCGAGGAATGAAGGAAGGAAGGAAGGAAGGAAGGAAGATGATGTTGCTGCTGATGATGATGATGATGAAGATGAAGATGAAGATGAAGAAGAAGATGAAGATGAAGATGAAGATGAAGATGATGATGATGATGATGATGATGATGATGGTGGTGGTGGTGGTGGTGGTGATGATGATGATGATGATATGATGATGATCGTTTGGGCCGCCTTGGGGCCGTCTTGACCTGCTGTGGGGCTGGGGCGCTCTTGGGCTGCTTTGGTGCCCTCTTACGCCTGCTTGGGGCTCTCTTGGGTAATCTTGGGGCTGTCTTGGCAGTACGATGGGTGCCTGGGGGCCGTCTTGGCGCCGTCATGGGCCGTCGAAAGGCAGGTCTTCTAAGGCCGTCTTGGGTCCCACGGGAGGTCCTTTTGGGCCATCGTGGGGCCGTTCGGGATGTTTTTTTGGCCATCGTAAAGTCCTCTTGGGCCGTCTCGAGCTGACGGCAGCCGGAAAAGGCGAGAATGCATGATTGTGGCTTCTTCGGACCCTCTGGAGGTCCTCTTGTGGCCATTTGGGGCCCTCTTGGAGGTATCTTGGGCCGTCTTGAGCCAGTGTTCGGCCGCCTTGGGCCCATCTTGGGCCGTCTTCGAGGCCTTTTGGCGCATCTCGGTGTCCTGGGTTACCTGCACGGGCCGTCTTGGAAGCTCGGGACGCAGATCCATTGTTTTTAACGAGGGATCGTTGATTGGGAGGCCCTGGAGCGCTCGGGAGCAGCGTCTGGAAAGCGGGAAGTGCAGGATCCTGGAGCGGGAACGCGTGGGATGAGGGGCCTCGGATTTAGCAGCCATGCGGGAAATACACTATCTTTGAGCGGGCGCGCATGAAAGAAGGGTTCTGGCATTAGCTACCGTGCGGGAAGTGCACAATCCTTGAGCGGGCGCGCATGGAATGGGGGTTCAGGCATCAGCTGCCGTGCGGGAAGTGCACCATCTTCGGGCGGGCACGAGTGGTAGCTGCCATGCGGGACGTGCACCATCCTCGACCGGGCACGCGTGGAACGGGGGATTGGGCACTAGCTGCCATGCAGGAACCGCACCATCTTCGAGCGGGCGCGGTGGAAGTGACCTCGCCGAGTGGGGGGGAGGATCCGCCCAGGAGTCCGTGGGCAGAGGGAGGAACGGCCCCCTGTCAGAGCTCTGACAACCGCACCAGACAGACCTTGGACTTCTTCCACGCGTCAGCGTGCCCAGGGGGGCACGGTGGCGGATTCGCAGTGTCGGGAGGCGGCCCGTGCTTTGCCTTGCCTCGTCACCAGGCGGTTGCTGACGGCGCCCAGCAGTATGTCTAGCGCGGCCATGGCCGGAGCTGCGAGAGAAAAGGGTGTCGGTGATCGTGCTGCCGCTGTCCAGTGCCCACCCGCAGAGCCCCCACGCCTCAAAGTGGACGATCCCCCTCAGGATCTGTCTCTGCAAGGGCTCCCTCGAGGGCGCGCAGTTATCCGCGCTTCGCGGTCCTCGTTCCTTCTCCCCCTCCTCCTCGTCCTCCTATTCTCCCTTTGGGAGGGCGGCGCGAGAGCGCGAAGTTATTCGCGCTTCGCGCAGCGCGAAGCGCGAAGTTGGGAGCCCTAGATCTGTCTCTGTTTGGCTGTCTCTTTGTCTCCCTGTCTTTCTCGCCCAATTTCCATCTCCCTCTCTCTGTCTCTCTCCCGCTGGTTGATCGATCTGCTCACACACAGGCATATTTTTCCGAGCCAGTGTTGCTCCCACGCAGCTAGTTGATGCACTGTAGATGTGCAAGGTATGTTGTGCCGCCAATGTTGTGCAACCAATGTCGTGCAAATGTTGACGGAAAGCTATGGCACGTGGTGCAAGCTCTCTGGCGGGTAAGAGGCAAGAGCTATGCGTCGTACGCTGTGCGGGTTGAGCCATGCGGTGCAAAAGCTCCGCTGTGAAACCTATTGGGTGTAAGCTACGTGGTATAGGCTACGTGATGTAGCTACGTGTACAGTCGGGGCCCTGAAGAAGCAACCCTTTTCGTTGGGGAGGGGCTCCGCGTTCCTTAAGTGTTTCGCAGCTTGCCTCAGGCTTTCCTTAGGTTTTCGATGGGAGATCGAAGCTTAACTTATGGAAAACCGGTGCCTCGTTCCTTATTTAGGGTTCCTTAGGTCAAGACCCTCACTGTACGCCACATGGTGTGCGATGTGCGGCCGCCCACGGGATGCCCACGAGGCGGCCACGGGCGTGCGCCTGGCGGAGCCCCAGCGGCCGCACCTGGCGCACGGGGGGCGGCGCCCACGACGGGCGCGCGCCGGGCGACACCCTGGCGGACCCACCCGACGCACGGGGGGGCCCGCGAGGCGCCCACGACCAACGCACGGGGTGCAAAAGTTCCGCTGTGAAACCTATTGGGTGCAAAAGTTCCGCCGTGAAACCTGTTGGGTGTAAGCTACGTGGTATAGGCTGCGTGATGTAGCTACGTGTGCGCCATATGGCGTGCGATATGCGGCCGCCCACGGGATGCCCACGAGGCGGCCACGGGCGTGCGCCTGGCGGAGCCCCAGCGGCCGCACCTGGCGCACGGGGGGCGCCCACGACGGGCGAGACCCTGGCGGACCCGCCAGACGCTCGGGGGGGCCCGCCAGGCGCCCGCGACCAACGCCTTGGCATCGCTCGGACGTGTGCATTTTTCCTTCGGCGAGGACCCTCGAGGAGCATCCTGGATCATTTGGCGAAAGAGCCACGCACGAAACCGGAACAAACACAGGAAATGGACGTCAGATTGGATTGGGCCCCAAGGGCCAATCTGGCCTGGCCACACTGGATGATTTGGGTTATTCGCCAGGCTGGATTCGCGTTGGCTCCCTCGCCAGATTGCCCCCGTTTGCCAGATTGGGCCTGCCAGATTGGCGCCAGATTGGCTTCGACTACCCAGCCAACGCACGGGGTGCCCGCGAGGCGACCGCGACCAGCCGCCAGCCCGGCACCGGGCGAAGCCTCGGCGGAGCCGTCCAAATGCCGTAGGTAGCACACCATTCCGGATTCCATAATAAAGTCGGGGGGGTCACTTGGGACCCCCCAAACCGGGTGGTGAGATACCAGGTGGCGACCTGGAATCCCCAAAAAGGTCACCGCTGGGTTTGGGGACGCGGGGTCACCGCCAGGTTTTGTGACTCCTGGACCCACCAACGTTCGGGACATCCTCGGAAAACCGCACGAGTCCCCAAACCGGGTGGTGACACCAAATCGCCCGAGACTCACCGCCAGGTGTTGTCACCACCACGTTTGGGGACTACCAAGTCACATGGGTGGGGTCTGATTTGAGCTGTCTTGGAAGGTTCGGCGGGGTCTGGGCAAAGGGCCGCCCTTTCATGGATGGTCTGGGAGGGTCTAAAACTTCTCGTCTGGGAGGGTTGAGACCCCCTCCCTTTTATTACGAAATCTGGAGTAGCTTATCCTTTAGTGCAAGCGTTGTTAGGGGAATCGCATCGCCCCCGCAGTTGCGGATCAGAGTGAGGGGGCGGCGGGGTCGTCGGCAGTTTGCGAGGCTGTGAGGGCATGGATTTCTGGCCCATTGTACAACGAGCCTGCCGCAGGCGGCGAATTTCTGTCAAAGCAATCTGGGTGGGTCTCGGGTAGATCTCGGGTGGGTCGCGGGGTCGTTCGCGGGGTGGGTCGCGGGGGGGTCGCGGGGTGGGTCGTGGGCGAGGACGACAATAACGATCATTGTGAGGTTGTAAGCTCTTATGTGCTCGCGTGCCACTCAACACGTATATCCCAAACCATCGATACCCGCAGTCTTCGTCTTCGATCGTACATCCTTTGGGAACATACCTTCCTTGCATGCCACGTGTAGTTGGCGCAGTTCGCAACATAAGGGAAAGAAGGGAAGAGAGTAGGGACACGGGGGAGGGAGAAGGATTGAGCACGAGAATGATAAGCAGGAGAGGGCGTTAGGAACAGGACAACAAGCGGCATAACCAGACGGGCGGGTTGGGCGGGCGGACCCTAATTGGCGAGTCGAGCAGGCTGGCCCTGACGGCTGGGTTGAGCGGAAGGGTAAGCGTCAGTTTTGCATACATCTTGAGGAAGATTCGAGCAATAGCGCGATTCCCAAGTAAGTCGTGAGGGAATTCAGAGCGAGAGCGTGATTCCTGAGTCCTGAGTGCCGAGGACGCGGCGTTTCAACCAATGCGAGGAAGTCCCACGAGAAAGCGCGATCGAAGACGCCTACGGCGAATCACCGCCGCCCCCTGCCTTCTAGAATCGCCCATGTGGCCGAGCGTTGTGGCAAGAGCTCTGCCAACCCATCGGACCATGTGCTCCCCCAGCCGTTGTGGAAACCCTTCGGGGAATACTTGGGGGAGGATGGCGGGGAAGATCAGGAGGAGGCGGAGGAGGAGGTGGAGGTGGAGGAGGAGGAGGAGGAGGAGGAGGAGGAGGTGGTGGAGGAGGAGGAGGAGGAGGAGGAGGAGGAGGAGGAGGAGGAGGAGGAGGGGGCATCTTGGGAGACTCCGGGGATTTCCTCGGGGCCTCTTGGAGGCATCTTGAGGGCCCTCATGGAGGCCTCTTGGGGGCCTTCGGGAGCTTTTCGGGGGCTTCTTGGGGGCCCCTTTGGCCGTCTTGGTGGGCTCCTGGCCCGTCGGAAGCCGTCTTGGGGGCCTCTCTGGGCGGACTTGGGGCCCTGTTGGGGTGCTCCGGGGCCGTCTTGGTGGCTCTCTTGGGTGTAGTGGAGGCCCCTTTGGGCCGTCTTGGGCCCTGCAGGACCCGTTTGGGGGGCTTCGTGGGCCGTTTTGGAACCATCCTGGAGGCTTTTTGGGGCGATCTTGGGCCGTCTCGGGCCGTCCGTAAGCCGAAACGAAACAAAATCCTAAAATCCTTCAAACACCGTTTGACAATTAATGAATGTGCGTTGCACGAATTTGTTATGGTTGCTTTGTTTGGTTGCCGCACAAAAGCAGCCCTATCCCGACGCTGCTTGGGCTCAAGCTGTCAGCGGGTATGCAGTCGCAGTGCCCTGCCAGCGCTCTCGGGGCCCTGGTGACCTTCTGGGTAGGTTTCAATGCCTACGTCGTGATCGGGCCCGCGCTGGCTCCTGAAGGCGCTGACTGGCCGCGGGACGACCCTGGACACGAGCTGGAGGACAGCTCGGCGTCGGCGACGGTGACGGGGACCACCGCGGCCAGCCCAGCGCCCGATTTCCATTGCCCGGCGCCGCTGGCGCCAGAGGAGGCCAGCCCGCAGCCGCTGCGGGTGGCCAGGGAGGGGCTCGCGGCCGCTGTCGAGCTGCCCGTGGCGTTGGTCGGCGCCAGTGCAGCGGCAGCGGCGGCGGTGGCCTGTGGCGCCGGCTGTGAGCTAGCCTCGCGGCGGAGCTCGGCCAAGCTCGCGCTCGAGCCCATCGGCGAGGCGCGCATCCACGTGGCGTGGTGACGCGGGTCGATGCCGCGCCTGGTCTACGCGAGCAGGTGCAGCACGGTGAGGGCCCGGATTGGACGCACGAGCGCCAGCATGCCTTCGAGCGCGCTGGGTTCTCGCTGGACAGCGAGACGGGCCAGGTGGTCAGGGGCGCTGGCGGGGCGCCGCGCCAACTCGACGCCCAGCTGCGGCAAGTGCTGGGCAGCGAACGTCGGGATGCAGACCCAGACTTCCCCGAGGTGTCCAGCCAGTTTTTGCGTGACTCCCATTGGACCACGGTGATGGCGGACCGATGGGCGTTTGAGGACGATACCCTTAGACTTGAGGCACGGGCGCTCGTGAAGGCTGCGTCACGTGCGGCGCGCAGTCAGCCAGTAGAAGAATGCCGCGTCCTATTGCATGGTGACAACCTCTCAGTCGTGCTCTGTTTTTGCCGCTTCAGGTTCAGGGGCCCTTCGACTTCTCATTCAGGTCCGTCGGCTGCTCGAATTCTCGCGCCTAGCTAGAGATAGCAGGTTCGTTGTTCGATGGGTTCCAAGCGAGGTCAGTTCTGGAGATGAAGGAAGGCGGAGACTTGATCTTGGGCGCAACAGCAGCAAGACCATCGCATCCCATCTTGGCTCAACAACGCTTTCGCCCCAGGTTGATCCCAGCCTTGTCCGCGCCCCCTTGGCGGTCGCGGTCGCCAGCGCGGCGTGGGGGCGGGCGGCAGCGGGCGCTGGGCAGGTCTGCGACGCCCCTGTCCACGGCGCCACGCAAGCCAGGCAGGCGTCGCGCGCGGGCGCTGAGCGCCGCGGCATAGCGGCGAGAGGCGGCGGAGGCGCCGCCGACTCGGAAGGCGCGGGGCTGGATCGCAGTCGTGGGTTTTCCGTTGAGCTTGCGGCCCCGAGGTCGGCGACGGTTCCGCATGTGGCAGCGGCGGAGAGATTCCCGGGCGCGGATCGCCGCGTGGCTCCGGCTGTCACCGCGGGCGCCAGAGGCCGAGAGGCCGACGCGGACGTGGCAGAGAGCCAGAGCGCGGACGGCAGCGTCGTGGAGGAGCCCGCCGCCGCTGCCAGCTGCCGGCAGCGTTTCGCGACCCCGGGCAAGGCCCGAGTCAGGAAGGCGCTCGACGTTGTGGAGGGCGCCACAGCCACGCTCGAGACCCACCGCCAGCGCGCGCTCGCATCTTGCGACTGGGCCCGTTGCTCGCTGGATGCGCTGCTAGCGCCGCCCAGGCTGGATACGAGCCCTGCGGGCTGGGTGGTCGGCGAGTTCCCGAAGGGGGTCATGGCCCGGCGCGGGGAGAAGTTGCGCG